GAGAGAGCGTGCCTAGTAAAGACGCCCAAGTCAGAAAGCAGACAGAGCTTTGTCTACCCAGGATGCTTTTGCTCTGAACAGGATGTTTCTTTTCTCTAAGCTTTTTGGCATGCTTGCTCAGAAAGAGCTGTGGGCTACAGTTGACATCACCTAGTAGAGGTGGCAGGAACACCATTTACATAAGTTAGTGGATAAGGAGAAGTAGAAAACTCAGAATATGAGGTTGAAGAGAAAAACATGCTGAAACAGCAATATCTTCCTAGTATACAGTATATTCTCCTAAGAGGTGTCATATAAATGCAAAAAGTGTCTGTAGCTACAGGAATTTCATACTTGCTCATACTCTCTTAACATTTGCTCATATCTCAATATTTCTAACAACTAATACAGTTGGTACATGTAAATCTCCCCCCTCCACTAGATATGAGAACCTACACTCTCAGAATCCTGGACTTGGTTGAATTTGAATAACTGGGCATTTTCAGGACGTATGCCAACCTATAAAATAGATACTAATAATGTTAATTTATACAAGTATACATGTTTTGAGTTAATGACTCAAAGATTTTAACAAGTGGGAACATGTGACCTCTCACTGAAATGTCAATTGTATATATATTAATTTTCTTCTGCTGAACCAAACTGGGGAAAAAATTAAGTCTCAAAAATTCGCCAAGGAAAAGAAACTTGTGCCTTCCTGGGTTAACTTAGCCAATGTAGAAAACTCCAAGTAACACTGCATGCTAATTTTAATTAACATAAATTGTAAATTATGATGTTGTGGTTGTATTTGAATCTCCATTATTCTAAGCAGATCAGAAAACTGTATGACTCAATTATTTAAAAAAAACTCATGGATTTGGTACATGTGAGCTTGATAATTCTATTTTTATAACCAATGGAGCCAACTGTTTGATAGCAGAAAATAACTTTGTACAGAGCTGTTGATTTAAAATTCAAAAAGTGTATGTGGGAAAATAACTGTGTAGATCTTTTAATTAGACTGAAAGTAAATTATATTTTAATCAATAATGACAAGTAAATTAAGTTTAGAAACACAAATGAAGAAAAAGGACAAGCTATCCTTGCATCTTCCTCAGCTTCTATTTTGTTTCTCCCATCTCAATAACTGATGTTATGGTCTGAGTGTTTCATGTTACCCACATTTCACATGTTGAACCCCCCAATGTGATGGCATTTGGAGGTGGAAATGTTTGGGAGGTGATTAGTATCCTTATAAAAGATCTCAGAGATCCTTTACCTCTCTGCCTGTGAAGAAAGCAAAAGATGTGTCTGTATGAACTAGGAAGAGTGGTCTCATCAGACACCAAATTTGCAACACCCTGATCATGAAATTCTTAGGCTTCCGAACCATGAGAAATAAATTTGAATTTAAAGCCACCCAGTCTATATTTCTGTTATAGTAGCCCCAATAGACTTACACAAATGGTAATTCTTAACAGTAGTTAAAAACAAAAACTTGCATTGATACCTGATGCTTCCCTTTTACATTCAAACCTTGAGTATATTTTCTTGGCTCTATCTCTAGAATATACCTAGAGTGTGCCAGTTCTTACCAGTATCACTGCTCACACTCATCTTTGCTAGTCTGGATCATTACAACAGTATTTAGTATGAAAGTGTTTATTCCTTCAGTTTTTTTATCCATCCATCCACTAAATACAACCACTAATGGAACCACCACCTATATCAGGTAATGTTTTGGGTACTTCAGTCACAGGGACTTACTCTTATGGTCTTTACAAAAGGATCAGGATGTGTACAATGTCCCAGGACATAACAGTAATTACACTAAATAGAATCAATAGACTAGGTAAGGAAGCATTTTCTCAATTCAATAAAAACATTTAATTATTCAAAACTGAAATGATTTGTTATTTTGATTAGTTGTATACTAATAGTAGTAGTGAACACACACTTTTTTGATGTAGATAATTATAACAAACAATAAAAACTTTCGCACCTAAAACCACAGTACATAAGAGGATTCCATAAGTCAGGGTTTCTAAACAGCACATGATGACATTTGGGGTGCTTATTTCCATGTTGTGGGGGGGTTGTTTTGTGCGGTGAACCATGTTTTGCAGCATTACTAGCTTCCTTCTGTGAGACATCAGTGAAACCCTGCTCCCAATTTATGAAACCAAAAATATCTCCAGCCAGTATAACACAAAATTTCAACTCAAAAAACAGACGATGATTCGTATTAAGTACTGGATTCCAATTAATTCTACTGGATACATGTCAAGCAATGATAGTTAGTATAAAATGATAATTTATAATACACTGGAAATTACATTATTTGCCGTTATTTAAAATCATGGTCAAGAACTCTGAATAATTGTTTATGATCCATTAGTCCAAAGCATCCTTAGTTTATAGGAAAGGTGAAGGATGTACATTAAAACTCACTGATCTTTGTAACAATGAGTTTATCTCACATGCTTTTAAGGCACCTCTCCCCCTTACTATCTTGACAAACATCCAGAAAAATTAACTGAAAAGACCATCAGAGGTTTTTAAGTAAATACTAGGTGCAAAGCAAGCATTTTCAAAATTAAAACTGTATAGATTAGTATCCTTTTTTAACTTTCACCCTTTAAATGATATTATACAATTTGAAGGCATAATCCAGAGCAGTTTATAAACTCCACAGTTCTTTTCCATAGAAAGAAGCATTTAATCCTCTTACTAGACACCAAAATAGTCTCCAATTCCCTCAGTACTGTTTACTGGCAAGAATGCCAATCATTAGTTCTAACTATGGATATAAAAACGTCTGTGGTTTTTCTATAGTTTTAAAGCAATTCCATACATACTATCTAGTATTATTAATCAAACAGATCTATGAAGCTAGTAGAAAGAGAACAAATATGCAGTTTAGTGGTAACTTGCCTATTTTACAATTCAGCAGCAGCAGCAGAGGTCAGGTATCAAAACCAATGACACCAAACTCTTTATAGAGGAAATTCATTTGAGCTTTAGCAGGTTAACTGCATTGTATGGGGTTTGGGGATGCTTGAGGGAAGTTAAATCCCTGCCAAAAGCAACATACAGAGCTCAGTTACAGCTGCAAAACTTCTCATTTTGTACAAGGCTTTTAAAGACCACAATTTCCAAGTTTCATATAATATTAACAGGTAAAAACCAATCTTTGTTGCACGTATTTATTAAGCTGCCTAAAGATTTTTTTCAAGTTATGAATTCTTACATCACAAAAGACAAAAACATAAATCTCACCAATATTTTTTGAGAAAGGATGACTGTTACAAACAACACAGATAATTCAGACAAATAAATTTGTTATCCCAGCATTCTCTGTAAAGAGTCCATCCATACATGCTAGTTACTATAATCTTCCTAATTATTCAACCCCTAAAATTAATTCAGTAAAGACATAAGGATAATTAATAAGCAATCAGATATTACCTATCCATCAACTAAGAATCACTTCTCATTCTAATTATTCTAGAGCTACAATTAAAAAGCATTACGATTTAATACATATTCGCAGGTACTGCTGAAGGCCCTGTCCCCTACTCCAGCAGAGCTGTGTCGTCGTTTCGCAGTCGATGAGCGTCGGAGCCCGCCGGATGGAGCAGCAGGCGGCTCCGCGTCCCCAAGGCTACCGCCGCGGAACTCGTCGCAGCCCGCCCGGCAGGCCCGAGCTGGGCGGCCACCCGTTCCTCCTGGACCCTTCGGACGGTGCTGGGAAATCGCTTGGCCCAGTAGCAGGAAAGGGTTTCCACCGGCCGGCTGGAGAACCAGGCGGGGGGCCTGGGAAAGCCGGCCCCTCCTCGCCTCTCCTCGGCGGCTAGGGCGGCCCTTCCCGAGACACCAGGCCGCGTCGGTTCCCCTTCATCCTATTTTCCCTTAAATAAAGCATCTCGAGGACTTCGTTCTTCTCGTGCCCACTCAGGAAAATCTAAAATGCCTTCATAGAAGAGACGCCAAATACGCAGTTCCCAGCCAGTCCACCCCGACTCACGCCCCGCCCCCGCCGCTGGGCGCGGGAGCTCGGGCCCGCGCTCCCCGCCTCGCCCCGCCCCCGGCGCGCGCCCCACCGTATAAGGCCAGAGAGAAGGCCGCCCCGCCCACTCAGGACTCGCCCACAGATGCTCCGCCCCCGCGCCGTCCCGAGGAAAGGGGGCTGCAGTTAGCTTCTCCAGTTCTTTTCCTTTCTTCCCCTCTCCCAAGACAGATCCTTCCTTTACCCAGTGGCAATGGGCAAGGCCCCATAAAACTCGACAATCACAAAAGACGAACTACTACTGTCTCCTCCAGAGGTTGCGAGTTTATCCCTCCCTCGAACGCTGGAGCTCCGCCCTTACTGAGCCTCCCCACAGCCGCCCCCACAAGCCCGCACTAACGCTTTCCGGGCAGCGCGCGTCGCGCTCGCTCCGCCTTGCCGCCCCGCCCCCGGCCCCCCGTCGCTCTCTCTGGAGAGTCCGCGAGTACGAGCAGGGGCGTGCGGCGTCAAGGACGCGCGGGCGCTTCATCCTTCCCACCTTCCTACACTGTTGCTACTTTTGGGTGTGAGACATCTCAGCTCCTCTTCCCCTTGCGTGAGTTCCTCCTCTCCTTTCTTCACGGACGCTCGCTTGCTTGCAGCCGGCTGACCGGCGCCGCCGCAGCTCTCCCGCCCGGAGCGGGCAGTGCGCGTGCGCGCGGCCGCGTGCGCGCGGCCGTCGGGTCCCCGCGCTCCCTCCCCCTCCCGCTCCTCTATAACTTGGCTGGCGAGGGGGAGGCGCCGCCGGAGTCGGAGGGCGGGGAGCTCGGAGGAGGGAGCTGGAGAGTTGTGGAGACTAGTGACTGGGAGAAGTCGCAGCCTGTTCGGGTCGGCTTCTTCCCGCTCCCAGTCTCCCTCTCTCACACACCTACTCCGCCTCCCGTCCCGGCCCGCGCCCTCGCGCCTTCTCCCGCTCGGGGTCCCTGCGGTCGCTCTCCGTGCCGCGGCGCGGTGGGGGCGCCCCGGGGTGCCCTCGCCCTCCGGGTCGCGGGCGGGCGGGCGGGATGTGGCGCCTGGTGCCCCCGAAGCTGGGCCGCCTGTCCCGCTCGCTGAAGCTGGTGGCGCTGGGCAGCCTGTTGGTGCTGATGGTGCTGCACTCGCCGTCGCTGCTCGCCTCCTGGCAGCGCAACGAACTGACCGACCGGCGCTTCCTGCAGCTCAATAAGTGCCCGGCGTGCTTCGGCACGAGCTGGTGCCGCCGCTTCCTCAACGGGCAGGTGGTGTTCGAGGCGTGGGGCCGCTTGCGCCTGCTGGACTTCCTCAACGTGAAGAACGTCTACTTCGCGCAGTACGGCGAGCCCCGCGAGGGCGGCCGCCGCCGAGTGGTGCTCAAGCGCCTCGGCTCGCAGCGCGAGCTGGCGCAGCTCGACCAGAGCATCTGCAAGCGGGCCACCGGCCGGCCCCGCTGCGACCTGCTCCAGGCCATGCCGCGCACCGAGTTCGCGCGCCTCAACGGCGACGTGCGCCTGCTCACGCCCGAGGCGGTGGAGGGCTGGTCGGACCTGGTGCACTGCCCCTCGCAGCGCCTGCTCGACCGCCTGGTGCGCCGCTACGCCGAGACCAAGGACTCGGGCAGCTTCCTGCTCCGCAACCTCAAGGACTCGGAGCGCATGCAGCTGCTGCTGACCCTGGCCTTCAACCCCGAGCCGCTGGTGCTACAGGTAGGCGCGGGGCTGGGCGGGGGGCGTCCTGCCGAGGGGCGGCGGGCTTGGGAAGGGGCGGCGCCCGGTGCGGAGGGCGACCTGCTTAAGGAAAGGCTGCGCGTGTCACCCGCACTCGAGAGCATCTCCGATTCGACTGCGGATCCTTCAACGCCAGAGGGAGTGCGTCTTGCACGCTCCCAAAAATGTCTCTCCAGCGAGTTCCCTTCCGCCGCCCTCCCGGCCTTTCTGCTTTTATCTGCCGGGCTACGGGTCCACCGCGCCCCGCGACCCGGCCCTGGAGCTTGCAGTTCTTCCCGCGTGGTTTTGTGCCACTCTCGCGCTGCCCTTCGCGGTCCCCTCTGGCCGGCCTAACTTCGGCCCCAGAGTCTTTGTTTTACTTCTCAGTTCAGTTACCTGGCAGTCTTTCAAAAAAGCTCATTGGGGACCATGAGGTCAGAGAGTGGGACAGTGGTCCGCGACGAGGTTAATCCAGGAGTCCTGCCTTGGGCGGGAGTAAATCTGAGATGTGGGGGAAAGGGGACGCTAAGGCCACGCCGGACATTTTCATCGTGATCTGTGACCTGCCCTGTTCATCTGCTAATCAGCTTGAAAGGAGATGAAATGTTAGGCCGGCGAGAAATGGGGAAGGAGGTTCTGGCGTCTTGCCTTATTGTTCTTTGCTTCCTTCTGACTTTGTTTTGGAAGTAAATGGCCCTTTTAAGGTAGTAGGATGGAATCTTTTTACTGGTGACAGCAAAGAAAATAAATGTTTGCCTTTGGAGTAGTGGAGTTTCTGCACACTCCCGGCTGTAATGTGTCCTTGGATGGTGATTACAGCTGTGGGGTTGTGATCCCTCTTTGGTAACTCAGGAAAAGTTACTGTGCTCCCTTTTCATGCCAATTTTGCTGTATTTCAAATAGGAAGGGGGGGAAAGTGACTCAAAATTAATCAAGTAATTTTGGTTACTTGTATAGTATAGTTCGATGCCCTTTCTGTTCTGCCAAGAATGTCACTAATGGCTGGAGGATTTGTAAACAGTGTCTTTTTTTTTTTAATCTAAAATGCACTACTAGGAATGTGCAGTATTTATTTATTTTCTTTTCTCAAATTCTCCACTATTCATCCTAGCTAAAATTAACCAGTTTTGTTCACTCAGTTTGACCAAATAATCATAACAGATGTTTTGCCTCAAATTAAGTGTAGTCGATTTTAAGCTTAATTAATTTTAAGGTGTCATGGGGCATATATAATATTTTTAAAGTTCAGATTGCATATTTAATGGTGCTATGTCTTTGAACAGTGAATGATGTATAAGGCTAGATAAACTTTCTTGAAGAAATTTACTTCAGGCTGCAGTTCAAAAACTAGCCAGTCTTCCTAAGGTTGAGCCCATATTTGTGACATATATTGACACTTGAATTTTATTTTTATTTAAGTATCTTTTCAATTTAAGAAATATAAATCTATTTTATCTCTGCAAGGTTATTTCATTGAAAAGCTTTAGCAGTGTAGTTTGCTGAAGTAGATAGTCTGTCAAAATCTCTGGGACCCCTCAGTTTAGTAAAGAACTATCTTAGTAATACATTTCCAGCATTTAAAATACTGGCTGCCTATTGAAAGATTTCTGTCAGGTAGTTCTGAGTATTGATGTATTAGGAACAAGTAATATTAGGACTAATATTTTAAAACCTATCAAGTTCTTTATAACCATAAACTTAGTCATGATATCCGAGTTTGAGAAACTCTAGTATGTGATCTACACTGTTAAATCTACTTTATCCAGGAAGCTTTTATATTTTGTTGGAAGTTCTTTTGGCATTTTCAGTTTGCTTTACACTTGATGATTATGTGTTATTTACGTCTTTTGCAATGAACAGCATTTTCAAAAATCACAATTATTTTCTTATTGAAAACTTCGTAACACAATTGCTCTGAGTGAATAGTTTGTAGTATGTGAGAAAATTTGTGTCAACTTTGTAGACTTACATTTGTAAATTGCATTTTTAATTTAAACATTTCCAGTTTTCAGGAATGGTACTAATACCGCAGAGCCAATTGCATACCATGAAATACATATTTTGGAGTCTTTACCAATCAATCATATTGACATGTTAATTTTTTCTTAACCTGTTAAAGAATAAGACTTTTTAAAATAAGAGACCTTCATTGAGCTGTTTCTTTCCTTAGAATCCCTTAATCTTTGGTAAAAGTCAGTTCAGAAGTATAAGCAATATAATTGCTTATAATTGAGGATTGATGATAGTATAAAATACTAAAATGAAAAGAATCTCAAAATTGTTCTGAAGTACAAAATTTTATACTGTAAGCCAAACCATGAGGTTAGTTAACTTTTTGTTAACTAGGAAAACACAATACATTTTTTTTAGTATATATAAGTTTCTATAAAACTATAGCTTCTTATGGTATGTTAGGATATTAATTCTGATAGGAAAAATTACTCAAATTTGGCTCTCTACTTAGATACATTTTCTGCTTCATGTACTTTTAAATAAAGGGTACCAGTGTGTATTTTACAGCTTAAAGAAGAACCCACTTTTTTTTTTTTTTCCAGGAGAGGGAGCTACTTAATGAATTTTTGGACAGTTTGTGACAAACTAGATTTTTCTTGTATTCTATTGTCCAAAAATTCTCTAGTTTGGAAATTAATTCTGAACTAACTTCTCAAATTGTTCTTATTGAAATTGTTTATAGTAAATATACTTCCAGGCCTACATTTGAAAATCTCTTGACATGATACTAAAGAAAGAACCTAAGAATACATACTAACTTAGCCCATTCTCCTCTCCTGATTTTAAGAAACAATAAAAAATTAAAATTCTATTGTGCCTGGAAGGAGCTGTGAAAGGTATTATCTGTGTGATTTTGTGCAAGGTTGTATAGATTTGTAATATAAATTTCCCAGTGTGAAGGAAGCCATATGAATGTACACTTTTTTTCTTATTGTTGGATGGTTTTAATAGTTTATAGCAGCTTATAGACTTATTCTCTTAGGAATGTTTTTCTGACAGAATTGCCTTCCGAAAAAATTTTTATAAACTTCAAGCAACAAGATAATGCTAGTAGTACCTTAATCTTCTATTCTGATACCTTCTTTTTGTCTTCACATTTTTTTCCACTTCACCAAGAGGTATATTTTAATGCCAAGTATACTATACTATAGTCCTACAGCAGAAGAGGAGCATTGTTGATTTTTGTATTGTGTAATAGCAGTCTTGGAATATTAAAAAATTGAGGTGTCATGGTAATTGGCAAGATGACAAGTTATTTTGTTGGTAAATTTTCTGTTAGTATTTGTACTTAACTTATTCTTGAATTTACAGAGGACTGTGGGGCCAGGGAGGATTTTATGCTGTTTGGATTTCTTGAAGCCCAGACAGTATCTCTGACTTTGACCTGGTTACTGGAGATGGGTTTGTTTCTAAAAAATGAAGAAAGCTGTTGGGGAGGAGCTGAAAATTTGTTTTACTTCGTATTTGTCGAACTTCATTTGCCTTAAACTTTTTGAATCATAGTTTTATCAGGACTGAAATTTTATAGTATGTAACTATCATTGCTTAAGATATTGTTTTTAAGCTCTCTTATTAATGGAAAAATATCTGCAAAGTATTTATATAGGGCCTGATACATTGTGAGGACTCTATGATAGTAAATAAGATAAAAGTAGTAACTTTACTCCTCTAGTGCATTTGAAGAGCTATTTTGAAGCTTACTTGGGGTATGGATTATCTTAAAAAATAGTGGAAATTCTAACTGTAAACCATACCTGTAGTTATAATGATTTTGCCTGTTCCTACCTTAAGGAATGAATTTTTATACAGTACTTTGAATGGTATTTTTATCTTAAAAATAATATTTAGAGTGACATATACTTTGAAGTGCACTGCTGAAAACACAGTTTTTAAAATCAACAAGGAAAAGATTATTGCTACTTAGCTAATTGTGTTAAGTTGCTAAACTTTTTTGGTGGAACTCACTTTCCACCCTGTAAATTGAGACCATTTGGTTAGTTAGGTCCCTTCCCTTTCAGACTCCAAATACTGGAGCTCTCAAATTCTTGATTTGAAAAATTATAAATATTTTTGTTTTTTCCTGTTTTAGCTGTTTGTGGAGTTCAGCTTTAACTGATGGATCCAATTAAGCTTTTCGAAAAGCGGGTTGTAGACTTGTGTACAAGGTCTTTGCTCAGATGTGAGTTAGAGGCTAGGATAGATAACTTTATTGCAAGTCTTTCTGCTACCCCTAGATTTTTATATGTATGAAGTCAGATTAAAACAAAAAAACAGAGATTTCCATTAAGGGAAAAAACTAGAGTTAAATGTGTGTTATGGGGCACTAGTTTGTTGGAAGGATGTTCCCTACTCTTGTCTTAAGAGTTTTTCAAGCAGCAGCTTAGGGAGACACCTACTTTTCTTCCACTGGCTGCTGCTGTGGGAACTGAACTGTATTCCCAAATTTAGGCTTCCAAGCACATTAGAAGTAGTTCTGAGTAGACTACTTTTTATCTAATAAGTTCATAAGATTTTGAACTTCTGTTTTTCCATTTAAGGTTTTATGATACTTTTGACTTAAATATCCTTCTTAAAAAGAACTAAAATAATACAACAATTCTATGTACTTTAGGTCCTAAAAAGGAGGGAGACTTCTTTATTTTAGAACGACCCTAGAAAGAGACAGTTGCCCTTAAGATCAGTGTAACATAATCATTTGACACCTTGGTCTAGTGTCTGGATTTTTCCAAATCTTTTAACCATTATCAATTTTGTCCTTTCTATGTTTTTGTCTCATCTTTGATTGTTCTTTATATTTCTGCTGCATGAGCTAGTACATATTCTTTACACATGTAGCTGGGGAATAGTAAGCTTTTTTTGTGTGTGGATTCTGCTTTCTGGACATGGGTGGCCAGTTTCCCAGGAGATTGTCATACTGATTTTTATTCTTTGTTTTTCTGGCTTGTAGGCTGTAGCCCACTTTCTTTGTTACTGTCATTGCTGCTAAC